GCAAGTTTTCTCTATGCTAGTTCACCTCTGTCAGGTCGGGAGTCCCTCGGGCGGCGGGCCGCTGCCACCAGGCGCCTCCGTAGCGTGCCCAGCGCCGCGCCACCCGCCTTCTTCTTCCGCTCCCTGACAAATACAAAGTCAACTTAACAAACCCCTACACAGAGTTTGTGGTAAGTGCTTTCAAAATTTTAAAATGTAATTTTACTTGGGGTAGATAGATAGTGAGGGGGAGTGACTCACCGTATGACGTCGGCCATGGTGGGCGGGGCGACGTGCTCCGCGGCGCCGTCGCACGCCTCGCCCTCCTGCGACCACAACATGCCCTCGTATCAATGTGTCGGAGTAGGGTTGGTGTGGGTAGGGTGGTGTGGGGTGGTGTGGGGTGGGGGTAGTGTACCTGTGGCTGCGCGGGGTAGAGCGCGGCGCCCATGTCGTGTCGGCGCGCGCGCAGGCAGCACAGCAGCCGGCTCATGTGCGGCGCCGCATCGCCGCCCTCATCGCACCAGCGCCCCCCTGCCCGCCGCCCGCGACACCCTCACACACGCACACCCTGCAACACAACATATATATTTTTACAATTTAAAATAGCGCCATCTGTGGAATTTTAAATAGTGTAGCTTCACAACAGTAAAAGAATTTTTTACATTGATTCAGTACTTTCTGGGTCTATTCAATGCAAACAAACAATAACAACAATAGATAATTTAAAACAGTGTAAATTCTAGCCGAAATACAAACTCTACCTACCCCGGTAGGTTACTAGCTTGAGTTATTTAAACATTAAATATGCTGTATCGTTTAACTAAACTCAAAACTATCGCAATTAAAATATAACATATAGAATTAATTAAAAAAATATGCATAGCGCTCACAAAGTAAACTAGGTCGCGACTTAACGAGTCATGCGAGCGTTCTGACGACGCTATGAGCGCCCGAGGTGGGGTACCTACATCACAACGACGTTAAAACTTGTAGGGTGTAGACAGAGATACATAAAAACTTTGAAATTAAGTAATAACCTGGACTGTTTCTTTGGTATTTTTACGACAAAAATTTAATCTGATAAATTTTTTAGTCATAAAAAATATTGAGTTTGTTTATATGTTATTTAACCTTTCCAATTAAGCTAGGATATGTGACTAATATTATAAATGAGAATGTTTATACATTGATGGATGGATGCTTGTTACTTGAAATTAACTTTGGAACAACTTAACAGATATAAAACATAATCTAGAAGAACACATAGTCCACTTATTAAGTTATCTTAAATTCCGCACGGACTGAGATGAGAGCTTGTGATTCATAATAGACAAGTAGGACTTGAACACTTTGTCAAATTGTTGAATGTCAGTACCTTTATACTGATACTTAAGTGACATATAAACACGGTTAAACACTCACGTATATTCATCCGGTGGTGGCACCAGTACGGCAGTTTAGTATAATGTCTCACACAAGTTTGAATAATTTGATACTTAAGTAAAAAAAAAATGGAATGGAATTTGTTGCCACTCACAACTATCACAATATGACTTTTGTGATGTGTGTAGAAAAATATTAGCAGCCATGAATGTAAGAGAATATATATTTCAAAGTTTTACATCCAATTCCAACGTAAACAAGCAAAACACCAGAACACAATTAGTAAATGAATTAATATTGATATTGAGTCTATATATATATATATATATATATTTAAATAATTCATGCAACAAGAGTGATAAGAGTGGACACATTGGTTTAGTTTAACTGAAGTGAAGTACGGACAAATGATAAATACAGTAGCGACAGCTTGTCAATCTTACTAATATTATAAATGTGACTTTTTGGATGGATGGATTTAAAAAGATAACTCCAGAACTGTGGTATAGATAAAATAGGCATTGATGTAGAGCAAAGTCAGGAAGAACACTTAGGCTATTATTTTTTTAATTATAAATGAACAGAGTCACTAGCAATAACTAGAAATATATAGACTTAAACTCCATATAGTTAAAAAAAAACCTTGTTTAGTAACCTAAGTGTTATTAACAGCTACAGCCTGTTCCAAATTTCATCCCGAACTATTTGTGGTTGTCTAATTATGTGACAACAAACATTTATAATATCAGTATGATTATAAACAGGTTTTTGTCAATAAAAAAAACTAGGTCAATACCTGATATGCTGTTTTATCTGATTATATAAATGTTTACTTTACAAAATGAAACCGTGTCATTGCAAAACATGTTCACATGTTGTTTTGACATCAATAAAACTTGTCTTACAACAACAAACAATGCATTCACACTGCTAAAAACCTGCACTAATATGTATACATAAAAGTGGTAAAAATATATTTTGAAACATGTTTATGTGATGGAAATTCACACTTTTTGAAACCTAATTACAATGTAAATAAATTTATAAAATTATTACCCGTTGTTCATTGTTGTATTGTAAATATTTAATCTATAGCCTATTTATTTAAATTTAAATGTAACTTATCTGATTCTCTATATATTAAATATTAAAAAGGTATAGATGTGGTCTTTATCAATACTCAAATCAAGGGACTCAAAATAACAATAGACTTTTTGTTTGTTTGTTTGTTGGGATATCTGAGTTTGAGAACACTTATGTCAGTGAAAATTACGAGTAAATACAAGAAAACACGAAATAATACTACAAGAAGTTGGAAAAAAGATGGAATTATATATAGGAAGCGAAAATTTATAAAATTGCTCTACTCAACTGTAATATACATAGAGTTGATACAGAGTATATGTATGATACATAATTTATATATGACCTAATAAACTGACACACTATGTACTGAAAGGGAATCTGATTGGGGTGTGAAGCGGTTAGGGGTGGCTGTGACGTCAGAGGGAAGTGCGCACGTCGGCTCGCACCGACTGACCTAGATTCATCCCTTGCGACATCGCGGTGCGAGGCTATTGCTAACTGAAATGTCAACAGGCCACGCTCCACCCTCTCTATTCAATAATATCTACCTAGATACAGTCAATTATCATCGAAAAAACTATCAGAAATACTTTAAAAGTTCACAAATATAATTTGATAACATTAATCGCAATGTAATATTTAAGCTAAAATAATTATACAGATAAATAAAATTCTTAATAATGAGAATTATCATACTGACCAACAATGCCAGGCATCACAATTAAATACACAATTTAATTTTCCGATATTTCACACAAACACATCACAGCACTGTCATGCACCGCCATTAGTAGCAAATCACGTCACTTAAAACTAAAATCACTGATCCAGGCGTATGTTATGCCGTTTATTTTATGTTTAAACTATCAAACAATATTTCTTTATAATAATTTTACATAAATAAGTCACGGATAAAAGCTCTTCGAGTGATAAAAGTAAAAAACAGAGGCCAATTCAACCCCGTTACACTTCCTTGGTATGTCGCGATTCAAACAATGCTGCCAACTACCCGAAATAATAAATAAATACTAGGATTGCCAATATTATAAATATTAAAATTCCGATACGCCCATTTAATTTATTAAAAACCAGAAAGGGTGAGTTAAATAAGAGACTTTAAACAATTTCATAAAGGGTTTTTAATCTTATTACCAATATACTAGGCCAAGAAAAAATGGTTTTAAAAAGCCTAGCCTTTCAAGAAAATGTCAAACCTTGAGGTTGTATTTCCGCCGACAATCTTACCTTTTCTTTTTTATCTATCTTACGTTTACATTTATTTACATGTATTAAATTACGGTTTATGTTAAACATAAGCAATTAAATCTTTTATCCTTTCATTATAAATATTGTTGACATGTGGCAGTTTGGCAGTGCCAATTTAAATGACAATCAATGACAGTGACACTGGCAGTTGGCTGGCTGTACTTTTGACATTAATGTTTGACTGATAAAAATTTAAAAAGCGCATTCACTTGAAGGTGGTTTCGATTTTGTTTTCAGCAGTTCACACTTCATCCATTAAAATTATATATTTATCTGACAAAAAACGTAAATCTTGAGTGAATTACAAATTCTGCAGTCTAAGAGCCTTGGGATTAGTATCTTGAACTCACGATATAATTCAAAGAATGGTTGATTAGAATGTAAGTAAACAACACAATTCCATGCATCTTACAACTTGAATTTTATGGTATTTAGTATATTAGTATATTTGTAATTAGTATGTACCTTTTAAGTAATGTTATTACCGCGGTAGGATAGGATTAGATCTTTGTTTACCGTTTTCACGAAACAAGTTCAGGTTCCTTCATTACCAGCAGAGTTACATTTGAATATATTAAATGTATTTGTTATTGCATGCATTGTTTTAGTAATCTAATAATTAGGAACACCTTTTTCTATAGTCATAAAGTAATGTTATAATAGCTATAAGAGGCAAAAAAGAATATGGCTATTTGTTTCTTTGCTTCCAATGAGTAGAAGTAATGATTTTTAAATTACAAAATGTCCCTGCAAATATCTACTTTATAAAGAAATTACAAATTCTTTATCTATATTAAAAAAAAGGAAGTTAATGTTATAATGTAATTTAAAGGATTATAATATAATGAAGCGTCAGTGGCTCAGGAGTCAAGCACTTGACTTACAATCTGCAGGTCCTGGGTTCGAATCCCGCCATGTACCAATGTGTTTTTCGATTTCCGATTTACATATATACATTTATCCTATGTTCTTACGGTCTGAAAAGAAATTCAAAGATATGTGTGAAGTCAACCTGCACTTGGCCAGCGTGGTTGACTATGGCCTAATCACCCTTAACTTAGGGTAGGCTCTGAGCCCCTCGGTGGGGACGTTTAGTGAGCTGATGATGTTATAATGTAGAATAGATGGACAGAATTTGATGGGACTTACACTGGAAAGTAGCAGAATGCAGGAATATTGAAGCCCTCTTTTATGTTCCTTTTTAATTTTGCGTTGATGAAATAATTTAAACAAGTGATCTGTAAACAAAAGAAACTGCTGGTTTCTTCTTGCATCTGTCCCATGAAATTGTACGTACGTTGTGAAGTGTACCTTCCAACTTGGTATGTAACCCAAGTTGGAAGGTACACTTCACAATCTAAATAATGTTATTACTATTGTAGATTCAAAGTGAGATGGGCGATTCGTCGTCCACGCCATCACTCTCTCCCGCCGAAGCGGAGCCGAGTAGTCCTAACTTATTCGAGGCCGAGTCCCCGCCACGCGCATCCCGCAGGCACCGGCGCGCCCGTCGCCTCGCCGGTAGCCCGGGCACCCCACCTGGGGCGCCGCCCGGTGCGCCGCCCAGTGCGCCGCCCGATGCCCTCGCTCTCGGCCCCGCCAGTGAAGACTTACTGGTCACCACCAACTACGACACCGAGGCCACGCGGTCCGACCCCCCCGGCACCTTATCTCAATACGACCTCTCCACACTCTATGGCAACTCGGACTCGGTGCGGCCGCAGAGCTCGCGCTCCGACCACGTCACCCCCAACTTGACCAATGAGGAGTCCAACAGTTTGATGTCTCTGCCCGACTCCAAGCAAGATGACTCGGAGGAACCGCCCGCCAAGGTGCGCAAGCTCTCCTCGCCCAAGATAAACGACGACACGGACGGCGAGACGTGCCCCATATGTCTCGACACGTGGGGCAACTCGGGCGAGCACAGGCTGGTCGCGCTCAAGTGCGGCCACCTGTTCGGGGCGCAGTGCGTCGAGCGCTGGCTGAAGGCGCAACCCTCGCGCGAACGCACCTGCCCCACATGCAAGAGCAAAGCCGCGCTCAAAGACATCCGCTTCATCTATGCTAAGCGTCTCGTCGCCGCCGACTCCTCGCAGATCACCGCCCTGCAGAAGCAGGTCGACTCGCTGCAGACAGAGAAGAGCAGAGTCGAGCTTGAGCTGCAGAACTGCAAAATAGCGCATCGCGCGTGTATCATGCAGCTGGAAGTGCTGCGGAGCTCGCTGATGAAGCCCCAGGTGGCCAAGGAGCAGCCCGTGAGGAGGACGTGGCGCTTCGCCCTCGAGAAGAACCTGGAAATATCGAAGGAGGGCGGATGTCGCGTGATGACGTACAACTGCCGCACCTACGAGCTGTACGTGTCGCAGAAGAGCGTCAACTACCTGTTTCCCGGGTACGGCATCCGCAAGGTGAGTTGCGTGGACAACAAGGCGGGCCAGTTCCTGCACCTCCACCCCAAGCCCATCCGCGACCTCACGTACTCGCAGCCGCGCGACCTGCTGCTCAGCGCGGGTCTGGACGGCGCGGCGCGCGTCGTGGAGCGCGGCGTGCCCGGCCTCGCCGTGCACTGCGGCCTGCCGCTCTGGTCCTGCTCCTGGGACCACCTGCGCACCAACGAGTTCTACGTGGGCGGCGTCGGCGGTGTCGTGCAGCAGTACGACGTGCGCAACCCCTCCCACTACATCCAGCGACTGACGGCGCCCGGGGACATGTCGCCCGTCGTCTCGCTGCGCTCCACAGAGTACGGCCTGCTCTCGTGCCAGCTCAACTCGTGCTGGCTGTGGGTGGCCAACATGCGTCAGTGGGAGCCGCGCGCGCTGCCGCTCGAGGGACCGTTCATGTCGCTGAGCTACGACGAGGAGTCGCACCGCGCGCTGGTGTCGTGTCGGGCGGGCGGCGGGGAGCGGGGGCGGCTGGCGCTGTGCCGGGTGCGGGCGAGCGCGCCGGGCGGCGAGGTTGTGCTGGAGCCGGAGCAGAGTTTCCCGGGGTCGGGGCGGGCGACGCTGATGTCGCGCGCGGCGTGGGTGCGGGCGCCGGGCGCGCTGTGGGCGGCGGCGCACTCGGAGGGCGAGGCGGCGCTGCGGCTGCACGGGCTGGAGGGCGCTCGCTCGGTGTCGCTGCCGGCCGCGGAGCCCGCGCTGGACGTGTGCGCGCTGCAGCTCAACGGGGACACAGTGCTGGCCGCGCTCTCGGAGTGGCGCCTCCGACTGTACAAGGCCATCACCACCACCACGTGATACAAGGCTCACTTCTAGTGCTGACATTGTGTACTATTGACAAATTATGTGATGAAAGTGAATGTGAAAGTATAGTTTTGTCTATGGTTATAATGTTGTTAGTGTTGCTAGTTGCGTTTATGAGAAATATGTGTAATGTTGATGTGATTTCATTTGACTCTTAAAAGAAATTTGATATTTTAACCAGTGATAATTTTATGACATGATGACAAATTGATATTTATATATGTGCCATGAATACAGTTAATGTAAATAAGGTGTAAAGTAAATAGCTTAGTTCAATAAATATACAGTTTACAGTTAGTAGAAAACACAATTTAAAAAAGTATAAATGAATAAAATAACCGGATTTATAAATTATAGTAAAAGATTCATAATATACTAAGTACCAAAAGCAATTTAGACATAACATTTGAAATATTAACTTCGTACTTTCTTAAAATTAAAAACATCACAAAATTATAAGTTTCTAGTACATATTTGCGATCAGGATAACATATCTTAATTTGTTCTACCACACATGAAGACAACTTCCGGATTCTCTTTATAATATACCAGAAATGTTGATAAATAACTAATAAATAATAAATGCAAATATAATCACACATAAATAATATGATTGTCAACATTCAAAGAGGTTGTATGTATATTTATTTAATAATGAAAATTAATCTTGTTCATGGCCGGGTGTCTGGGAATAAAATAAAAAAGAAACGTCAATTTGAATAATTGCAATGCATTTATTTTATAGAAATTATTTAATATTTATCTATAATATTTGTAATGTTTTGTTTTATTGTGTATTTGCTAGTGATGTATATGTTTTATTGATGTACTAGGTAACCCTGGTCTGCTGACTGACTACAATTATTTACATAACTCTATGTTTATATATAAGTTAGTGATTTGAATTGTCTTAAACATCCATACCTCATTTTTTTTTCAATAAGTAAAGTTGCGACTTAAATGTATTGTTTTATTTGATTAAACTTTGCAGATATATGCAGTACTATCTTAGCAAGAGTACATATGAAAATGTAATTACACAACAGAGATCGAACCCGAACCTTCAGATAACAAGTCCAGTGGTTAACCACTGCACCACTGACACTTAGGATTTTTATCAAAAAGTATATAAAATAGTTGATTGTATTATTAGATTTTAAATCGATACAAATTTTTTATTTAAATAATAGGTCTATATTTCGAAATCGCAATTAAAATAAAATTTTTAAAAACGTATTTGCGTGTTATTATGAGATGTCATTCCATTCATTACTTTCCCCGCAATGGGTTATTTTTGTGTCGATTTATCTTTATTGTTCCCATTTCACTCAAAAACAGTAAATCCGGTATCCGCCAAAGATTCTACTGTCACAACATATTGACATCCCTCTCATACTCTTTAAGAAAAATGAGATAACAATATATTTAACAAAATTGTTTCCGATGTTATTTTATATGCAATTTCACGAAATAGAAATTATGTTTTTAATTAAGAATTAGCAAAAAGGTAAGCACATTTTGATACGTTAATTTAGCCTTTGAATTTTTGTTCAAAAGTCAAAAAAAAATGAAATGGTATTGCATACTCTTTGGTAAATTATAGAAAAAAAAGGTTTGACAAGTAGTTCGTGAAGTTTACAAAGTTTTGTAAACAAAAATTATTTTCCTTAAGGTTTTTGATTAATTGAAATTCGTTTTCTTAAATTAATTCAAAATTTCACATCTTGTGATATAATCAAAAGATTTCCTACTGCAGTAGAAAGGTAAATTAAAGAGTTATTAGTGTTTTGCGGAACATGTGTGCGGCGCATATATGAGGTCATTGCCTTGCGGTGTATTTTATCAAAAGTTTAAAAATAAAACTAGTACCTATAGCAGTAGTACTTAGATAATACTCCATAAAATACTGAGATTAAGAACAGATTAGTCTGCAGAATCAATTAAACATCTCTCTTAGGTGAGAAAACTTATGCGTCTCAAAGTTTGAGAAACGAACTACTTTAATAGGGATGGGCAGTGGGCGTCGTTCATATAAAGCCAATGTAACCGCAGATATCTCTATAACTGTTACTCATATTAATATATAAGATTAACAACATGTTCTTAAATACATAGATTGCCTACTATTATAGATAGATATACTATTACGTGTGATTATACTTATGATGGCACTATGACTCAAATAGTGAAGTATTAACAAGTTTTTGGTTTCAGTACTTAGCAATGGAGCAAGTTCTGCAGCATGTGGCCCAGACGGTGGAGAAACAGCTGGACAATGAGTTGGAGAAGTAAGATTATGAATATATATGATGAGCCATACTTTTATATTATAAGGTAGCAAATGAGCTAGTGGCAACTTGGATTTGCCGAAATAACGGAGTGACCACTGATGTCTATGCATCCATAAATGCAGATACATAGCCTTCCTTTTTTGACGTAGGAAGGGATGCACAAAAAGATAATATTTACCCTTCTTATGCATCCCATCCATCAAATACACTTCATGTTCCCATCTTTTCTTTATAAGACACACATTAAAAGTGGAACATTTATATAAGTATACATTTAATCACTCTGTATATCAGTTGTACTCTTTATGTATGTACAGACTGGATGCAATGGACAGCAATGACTTAGAGGCAATCCGGAGACAGCGCATTGAGGAGATGAAGAAGAGAGCCAAGCTGAAGCAGGAGTGGCTTGCTAATGTAAGCTAATTACAAGCTACTAATAAATTGAAAGTAAATAGAAGAGTCATCTTGAATTCATTTAGTATATAAGTGATTACTTCGGTTTAAAGATCTTTATTTACTCATAAAAAACACAAAGTTTCGCTTACAATGAGTATAAATGTAAAATATAATATAAGGGCTTACGGGCTAATACAAAATATAGTAACCATATATAAAATTAGTATAAATCAAAAACAGACCTTAGTACGTACAACTATAAGAAGTTAAATTGAACAGAAATTATATCTAGATATAATATTGAGAATAGATTATGACATTACAGCGATGATATATGATTTAAGTTTGTTTTTAAAAACTTTAACACTTTCACAGTTCTTTATCTCGTCTGGCAGTTTATTAAACATTTGAACGCCTTCAAACAATACAGTTTTATTTCCATAGTTAGTACGCGGAGTAATTAATGTTAATTTGTGTTTATTGCGAAAATTATGTTTCCTCATGGAATTAAAAAAAATCTTTAGTAATTAAGCTATACATTCTTAGAGATTATATTTTACATCTGTGCCAAATGTCATCATGATCCGTCCAACCTTTGTTGAGAGTTTTAGGATATTATTACATATAATAACTAATATCCTCCATCCAAACATTCCCATTTATTACATTAGTAAGATATAAGGCATTCTTTGTTTTTATAAACTCAAATTGAATTCCGTTTACACCAAATGCATCAACAATGTTTTAACTCACTGCAAATATCAGTTTGTTATTTTGTCACATTCAATTACAAAAATAAAATACCTTCTTGCAGGGTCACGGAGAATACACTGAGATAGATGGTGAAAAGGAGTTCTTTGGTGTTTGCAACAAGAGTGAGAATGTTGTTTGCCACTTCTACCGCTCGGACACGCCGCGTTGTCGCATTGTAGATATGCATCTGCAGACCCTTGCTAAGAAACATGTCGAGACGAGGTTCATCAAGCTGGATGTGGAGCGAGCACCGTTCCTTACAGGTTAGTGGGAATACAATATGTCCCATGCTGGTATGTTTTTTTTTGTGTGAAAAAGAACTTTGTTTCATCCGGAATTAAAAAGATAGATTAGAGCGTCTTTGGCTCAGGAGTCAAGCATTTGACTTGCAATCTGCAGGTTCTGGGTTCGAATCCCGCCATGTACCAATGTGTTTTTCGATTTCCGATTTACATATGTACATTTATCTGACATTCTTACGGTGAAGGAAAACATCGTAATGCAACCTGCACATATCTGAGAAGAAATTCAAAGTTATAGTACATCATATGTTATTGATTTGTTTGCAGGTCGCCTCAAGATCCGTGTGCTGCCCACCATAGGTCTGGTAAAGGACAAGAAGACTAAAGACTTCATTGTTGGCTTCACCGACCTCGGCAATTGTGATGATTTCACTACTGAAGTACTAGAGTGGAGGATAGCCAGGTATTACATACACCTATATCTATAAAATCATTGCTTCAAACATATGATGACTCAGACCGCACCAACTTAAAAATAAACATATTAAGTACTCTATGTGTTATTCCAGATTATTTTCTATATCTATACCAAATTTCAGCGAGGTTAATGTAGCGATTCTCTTCATCCATACATCCAACAATTCGCATTTGCAATGTTAACAGGGCAGAAGTAATCGAGTACTCTGGCGACCTGTTGGTCCCGCCGGCGGAGGCGCGACGTCAGCGAGCTCTCACAGTTCACGCTAAGAAGACTATAAGAGAGAAACAAGACAGTGACTCGGATTTAGATTTCAGCGATTGATAAATTATTATATTATATTCCATTTTATAATACGCTTACAAATTCTTGTAAAAAAACTACTCAATTGGTAGTTTTTTTGAATGGCAACATTCGTCATTCTTAAAGGAAATATGTGCCTTTTTTGTTTATACTCTTTTAATATAAGCCATTTTATTTTGTTTAATTTTTAACATACTCAAAACTAAGCATAAAAATGGTTTTGTGTATAGCTCACTAGACTACGTCCGTGCGGAATTAAAAAATAATAATTAGTAGTCCATATGTTGAAACTATGTTCTATAACATTATAAAATTTTAATGAGATCCCTTAAACCGTTCTGGAGGTATACACCTACATGGCTATACACATAAGTTTTGTTGGCTACGGAATATTATATTTATTTTATTTGCATAAAAATAAATTGAGATAACTTTGCTATTTTTAATAAATAATCTTTTTTATCTAACCTAATTTATTTATTTTGTTCCTCTTCCACATATCAACGTCCCAAGACATTGAATAAATCAATGTCAAAAAAATAATAAGACCAGAACACAAGTTTTATTTATGTACATTAAACAAATAAAATAATGGCTTTGTTTACTCCTGGTCAGGTTTTTTCCTCATAAATATCATATAGGTCAGTCTTTAATGACAATTTTTACTGAAATGTTATTTTTTTTGTGTATTTTGGTAGAACATGAAAAAATCTTACTGGCAATCTTGCAACATCTGACAACAACTGTCAAAAAGTTACATAAATTTACTATTTAATCTGTACTGCAATCAGTTTGTCAAGCTCTCGCGATAAGGATAGGTATTATTTTCATTTATTGCTTAATTAAAATACGTAAACAATATTTTTGAATTATTTCGTCTGAGGAAACAATAATAGTGTTTGTGTTATTCAAGATTATTAAAGTGCGACTTTTTAGTTAGAAATTTAATTTTCTAAGCGTTCAAAGTTGTCCAAGTATTGAATATCACTCAGGAATCCAAGTAAGTCGTAAAAATGATTTTTGTTTGTTCTCATAGGGCTGTCTAAATATAGATTTAGTTGATTATTATAGTATAGTCTTAGAACCTATTCAAGGTTGCGACCTAGACTTTGGACTATCTATTGCGTAGATTTAAAAACAAAACGTTTGAGATAAGAATTTTTAGAGCTTTTGTAAATATCCAAATGAATGAATCGAAATTATTTTTATTTATCGTGGGAGTAAATTATAATACTGTTTTTATAAACTTGTAAAAAGTACTGGCAGGCTTTAAATCTGAAATAATACCAATAAACTTTTATCTTATAAGATTACCTTGAGATTTTTATAATTAAAACTGTTTAGTTGTTAGAAAAAAAATTATTAAGTTGTAAATAAATTATAAGATTACCATTGTAAAAAACTCAATGTTATAAAACAAACAATATTATGGTAAATTTTTTTACTTAAAAAAAATGTTTATAACATAAAAATTGCTGTTGGTTTTTCATTGTTAAATATTAATTAGAACAAAATTACCATTTCAAAGATTTTTATCTAATTATAATTTACATATAAAAGGTCATTGGCATAAAATTTATGCAGCATCATTAAGACAAATTGATAAAAAATTTAGGTCATACTTTGTTACAAGCTCCTAAATTGAACTGAAGTAAAATTGTATATAAAGAAAAACCTTAATGCGAGAACATCATGTGTACAAAATAAGATTTTATATGTATAGACTAGCCATTGCCTGCGACTCTATCCATGGAGAATTAAAAAAATAATTAGTAGCCTGCATATTCTTCCAGATTTAGTTCTACATCAATGCCAAATTTCATTGAGATCCGTTGAGCTGTTTTGAAGTTATAATATTTTAATTAATTAAAAATGATTAGGTAAATCATGGCAAAATTAACAAGTTTAACGCTGAGTACTACTGACTTGTGCTGAGTTAAAATAAAACAATAATATCATTGTGTGTCAACAAATCGCTGTAAAATCTTGAAATAAACATAAAAAGTAAGTCCCAAAGGTTATTAAATTTTGAATGTTTGAAAAAAAAATTAATTTTTGCTCTTCACGTGCTTTTCCCTTCTCCTCCGTCAAGTCCACTTCTTCGATTAATTCATTATAAAAAAGAAGTGGGAAGGGATAGAAAACTAAAATTAGGCATGTGGTATATACAGTCATCAGACGAGACAAGGAATTAGTTCCACTTGACGCTTTTCTTCTGTTTGGTTGTGGTATGGCAACCAAAATGCCTTTATTTCGTTATTACAAATCAATATAAAAATCTATATACATATTTACAACAATCATCCTCTCAATCACTATTTGCGACATTTCATTGTTCCCGCGCGATTCCCTACTGTTTGACATCTTTATTTTTTCCTCAGTAAAAAGGCAAAGGTTCTGACCATTATGCCACATGTTTGTCAGAATGTTAATTCTGCACTTAAAATTTACATCATCTGATGATTGTCTATCTAGTGATAAGGGTAACAACAGTAAAGTATAATTGTATTGTTATCAATCAACAGTAGTTATCAATGTCTTTCTTATCTAAATGTAGATTTTCGCTTATTACTACACTCACTCAGGTGGGGGAATGTTCGCACGTGTTTCATTTTCTTTTGCCCGTGTCTTCGCGCGGAATTAAAAACAAAATATTGTTTAGTATTCTTTGTTCTTCCAGACAGTCTTTTGAATCTGTACCAAATTTCATCGAGATCCGTTTCGCCAAACATTCGTATTTATATTTTGAAATTCTGAACTATAAACCACTGGATCGATTTTGATGAGTGAGGAGTCATACGATTCTTATTCATCCTCTGAATGTCATACCCCGTCACGGATTTTAATTTTTTTTTCCTGAAAACAATATAAATATGTTAAATAGACATACAAAAAGACAATAAAAATAATTCTTATGAAAATATTTATTGTTAAAGATAAAAGATGATAATTTTAGTCAATGTCAGTGTGACAAATTATTAAAAAATGCCAACAATTTCATTGTATACTTGGGAAAATCCTGACATAGTGCAATGCATTTTAGTTGGCACGTCGAAAACATGTGTACTCTTACATCCGACGTGCCAACTTAAGCCATAGCTTACATAACATTTTTAACTTATGTTTTATTTGTTTTAACACCGATTTATAATACAATGATGAGAATTAAAAATAATTATCTTCATGAAAATGTTAATAATTTTACATGTTAAATAAAAAAAAAAGTGTTTAAATTTTTACGTGGATCTGAAAACTGTTTAGGTACTAACTCGTTTGATATATTAATGTTAATATATTTTTTTATGATATCCTTATCTTTACAGATGTTAATGTAAGAGGTTGGTAATCACCAGCTGTCCAAGATGGGCGGCGGAGCTATTGCTGTGGGGGATCGCGGCTTCCTGCAAGAGGACAGGAGCTCGCACACCAGGCGTCAGTATATGAATAGCATTTTGTTTTTATATGACTCTTTTTAAAATGATTTCGATAATAACCCAGCTATTAAATATTTTAGCGATTTTATGAACTCTCAACTTTATTTTACGTTTTGCTTTCACGTTTCGGTTATAGCCGGCCATTTTTTTAAAATGGGTGTCAAAGTGTACAGGTTCAACGATGATATAGAAACAGCAAAATAAATTTCATTTATGTCAATTATTTTGAGTAGAAATACGATACAATATAACATCAAACAACTTCTTTTGTGATGAACTTTTTTGCGGAACCAACATTGTAAAGTTTTCTTTGCGTCAAAGGAAAAACTTTTTATACAAAGAGGATGGGTACTTAGTCAATTAACTTTTTCTTAATCAATTTCTATTAGTGTAATAAAGATTATTAAATGTCTTTCTCTCATAGGAAAAATACGGAACCCTTATAGCATCACTTTGTTGTCCGTCCGTCCGTCTGTCAAGACCCTTTTTCTCAAAAACGCGTGAAGATATCAAGCTGGAATTTATATGAAATGTTCAGGCCTGTGGTCGCTAGTTAAAACATAAAAATATTTGTAGGATATTATCAAAAGATCTCTAATAATAAGCATTATATATAATAAAACTAATCTCTTATCTCTTGGAAAAATCTAAAAACAAAATTATAACAGAGACCCCCCGACAAATCAATGGGGGGTTGCTGCTGGTGACGTCACTGGCAGCGGGGGCGACGGCGGGTGCGGTCGCCAAGACAGTCATCGCACCACTGGACCGCGCCAAGATCAGGTTTCAGACCAGGTCAGTGAATATTTTCAACTTATAACAATAAATAGGGGAATTTAAATCATTTACAAGACATATCGGAAGAAAGAAAGTATTTTCTATTTCATTCATCATCAGCTCAGATTTGGCCATAGTCAACCGCGCTGGCCGAATGCGGGTTGACTTCACACATATCTTTGAATTTCTTCACAGATATGTGCAGCATCACGATGTTTTCCTTCACAGTAAGAACGTCGGATAAATGTACATATGTAAATCGGAAATGAAAAAACACATTGGTACATGGCGGGATTCGAACCCACGACCTGCAGTTTACAAGTCAAGTATTGAAACCCCTGAGCTACCGATAAGTAATAACCACTTATTTAAAGTATTTTAAAGTAACATATTTAAATAATTTGCATTAAATTTAATCCACCTAAATATCGCAATAGAGATTGGAAAACAATACGTATTGTTTAGACCAGTGGTTCCCAAACTTATTTTGTCTACTGCCCACTATGACAATAAATATTTTTTTATCGCCCCCATATTTTCACATATTTAAAAACCACTATAACTTCAAACTAAATTAATTAATTATTGTGACGTATATATGTATATTAACGGAGAATTGTAAAGGAAACTTTTACTATAACCCGCAACTTGATACCTGCAGCACACACAAGGGGGCGTTATCGCACACTTTGGGAAAGACTGGTTTAGAGGATGATCAAATATATATAATTAAACTTGGTATGTAATAGTTAGTCTATAAGACTTCATAATTTGTCAGTGACATCCCTTACTCCACCCGAGCGGCGGTGCAGTTCCTTGTGACGAGTGCGAGAACGGAAGGTATCATGGCACTGTGGCGTGGCAACAGTGCCACCATGGCAAGGATAGTGCCATACGCGGCCATACAATTCGCCGCGCACGAGCAATGGAAGAAAGTTTTCGGGGTTGATTCCCCGCAGGCTGCCAAGTTAGTATATGAAGAAATTAAGTTCGTTAATAGACGCCCCCTGTATCAATATGTACCCCCTACTTATCACTTAGGGACCCCATATCTGATTTAATAAAAAATATAGGCGGTACCTAATACCTAGTTAGTAGTTACTTATTACCTTAGGACCTCTTATTTTTTTATACACGACATAGTTTTATATGCGTACTTACATTTAAATTACACTAAGGGGCCTCTAAGCGTTTCTGAGTGGTAATACTGTACCTCACTTAGGGAGCATCCTATCCGGTTCCTGATCGTGGGTTCTCTGGCGGGGGTGACGTCTCAGAGTGCGACATACCCACTGGACCTGGCTCGAGCGCGTATGGCTGTCTCACCTAAGAGCGAATATAGCTCCCTCAGGGTAGTTTTTATTAAAGTCGCGAGGGAAGAGGGCATAAGGACATTGTACAGGTGAGTGTTTTTAATTTTATTTATTTTGTTTAATATGTACAGTGAAGGTCTTTCGCGGTGTTGGTGTTTTTTAAAAAAAATACATAAACCGCAACAAATTTAAACTTTGCCGTTTCTTATATTTAAAACTAAAGTGCTGTCAATGAAATAACTACTCGTGCCCGTGGTTGTTATACACCTTGGTATTATACAGGCTGTTTGAAAAAGACGAGTAAATGGCAAACCTCAGATTTCTTCTCCGACATGACATGATAGACTCGAGCCGCGACCATTCATTATATAAAGATGTGAATATGAATTTATTAGTGTATTCATTGTGTAGAGGCTACCCGGCGACCATACTTGGTGTGATACCATACGCGGGAGTATCCTTCTTCACCTACGACCTGCTGAAGAGATGGTACACTGGTATGTTTATTATTTATTTAAATAAAACAACAAACTATTAAAAATTACAGTTACAGTCAGAGAATTAAATTCGCTTCCCACTTAGTATGAAGTATCATACATCAAATTGCCACAAGCATAGCACGTAAGTTGCACTGGAAGCGTCGCGTTTACCGAAATGGGTAGGACATAAACGTGTCGACTGTACAGTAAGTCTCTGGATTTAATAGAATATTTTGAAAGGTAGTCTGTTATTGATGCTATAGAGTACTTCGGGAGCCCGGCAGTGGGTCTGACGAACATCCTGCTGGGCGGAGGCGCGGGCGCGCTGGCGCAGACCGCCTCCTACCCGCTGGACATCGTGCGGCGCCGCATGCAGACCGCACGCCGCAATGCTGACACCAGCTACCCCTGTCCTAACATGGGGCAGACACTTGCACATATATACAGGTACGGTTACCACAAAAAAAAACATCAAATTAATTTGACATTTTTTTAAGTACATTGTGACAAAAAATTATAATGTATAGTGTGTAATACGCTATTGTTACATATATTTACCGAACTTTGAACAGACGTAAAAATAATTTAAAATCTTATATGTTTATAAGTGGCACACCGCCAGCAAACCTTACTGTACTCAAACGGATTTTACCTTTACTTACTGTTGTTCTCAGAATCAAGTGATGACAGTCCCTTAATGTTCATTTAATAAATAAAATCTACACTAAGCGACTGGTTTTTAATATATTATAATATGAGTTTGCAAACGAACAATCGGCCACTTGAATTCGAAATAGCGAAGCGACAACTCCCATACACATTTGTGATTTCGTAGATAAAGAAGGAGACGCACAGAAAGAGAATATGTCCCCTTCCTATGCGTCTCCTTCTCCATCCTTTCCTTATAATAAAAAGGGTGGGATAGTTTTTCTATCGAATAATCAGTTTTTATAATTATTTCCTCCCCAAGGGTGGAGGGGTGGCGCGGGTTCTTCAAGGGTTTAAGTATGAACTGGGTGAAGGGCCCCATTGCTGTGGGCGTCTCCTTCGCCACGTACGACTTCACAAAAACACTCCTGCGCAATCTCTCTCTAAATGTACACAGTTCCTGAAACACGCACTCGAATTAATGGATTCACTTCAAATGGACGCCGCGATGTCTACTTTATATTGATGAAATTGACTCCGATTGGACGCGGGATGCCTTCAAATGGACGCGATCGTTCTCTAATGGACGCGGGTTACCTTTAAGTGAATGAAATTTACTTCAAATGGACTCGGTTCCCTTAATACGGATGCGGTTGTTTTCAAAATATGGGTTTCCTTTGGATGCGTTCGTCTCTGAATGGACGCCGTCGAATTAGAGTTCACTATAAATGGACGCAGTTCAAATAACAAGTGATTTAAATGTGTGTTTGTGACATTTTAAAGGTTTGGATATTGTTGGTGAAGTTTTTTCTAGCTTGGAATATAATGTTGACAAACTTTATATTGAATTTATATACAAAAAAACAAGAGATCTCGCATAAAATGTATTCGAGAGTTTATAAGTTGCTTATTCTCATTGTATAGTTGTTTGTTTTTATATGGGATATGTTTTTATTAAGAAAAGCTTGTCTTAATGTTGAATATTTTTATATAAGATTTTAGTTTCTACGAAGTTTTATTGTATAGAGGGTGTACCAAAATAATGTGTTAATTTTTTAATGTTTTTTTTTTAATTATTTATTTTTAAAAGTTACAGCTTCTGTGATATGTAGTCGGAAATATAATAATATATATATATATATATTTAAAAGGTGATATGTATGCAATATACGACGTTATATCTATTAGAGTAAGGTATAAAATGGTTTACATTTTTATTTGAATGGATTAGGTACAGGGCTTTGTGCAATTTTTTATATATTCTATTCAAAATTATAATAAAAAATCTGTAAACAAATATAATATAGAAAAAAGATTGTAAACTACAGTCAAACCTGGTAAGCGAGTAACCTCTATAAGCGAGAGTCGTTGTCAGGTCTCGATGACTCTATAAGCGAGAAACTTCACTTAGAGTGAAAGCGTGAAAAATCTCGCTGTCTCATAAAATCGATATTTTCACAAGAAATATAATTTCTTGTTATTTGTATGTTAAATAACAATCAAATGTATTTAAAATATATAATATGTAAATTTAGTATTGTTTAAGAATAGATTAAAAATGTATATTTCATTAAAATTAGTGGCATCTTGTGTTCTGTGAATTACAGAAATATAACGAATTAATAAAATACTGAAATGTAATGGAAAAACACTCCTTTTTTATAAACAGACGAACCTGGATTATCCTATGTTGTTACGGTGAAGGAAAAAATCGTGATGCTGCACATATCTGACAAACTCAAACATATGTGTCAAGTCTTGCACTGGACCAGCATTCACTATCACATACTCTCACTTAGGGTACACTCTGAGACTCAGAGTGGGGATGTATAGTGAGGTGATGATGAAAGTATGAAGCGAGAATCCAAGGAATTACGATATTTTTCTCGCTTATAGAGGTTTCATTCTAAATGAAGTTTCTCGCTTATGGAGTCAATCGGAACCTGACTCTCGCTTATAGAGGTTTCTCGCTTAGTTTGAAAAGAAAAATATGACAATAATTGTATAGTAGTTATAGTTATTTATATCTTATCAAACTTATTGTGAACTCTGTCAGTTTATAATCTCACTAGATATATTGTAAACTGTGAGAAAATTTTAATAAAACAATATTGAGTGTCAATCGTAACATTTTTTTTTAAATAAACCTTAAAATTTTACAATTTCCTTATAGTTTGTAATATACCTAGTGAGATTATAAACTGTTAAAGTCCACAAACGATGACCTTTTATATAACTTATGAAAATTTAAACATTAAATAATATTTAAATAAAATAATTTCCATAAAACATGTAAATTTATTGAATTTTCTTTTATATATTAATAAATTTAAACACATTTATTTAATTTACTGCAATAATAATGTATTTTGTATAAAGTTTCCTCGATTTTCACTGAATTACACATTTTCCTTGAACAATAAATATCGTTTTATTTAATTCGTTTAAATCTGAACAAAAAAAAATGTATTAACTCACTAGTATTTCTGAAACTTTCACCTTCCCATTTCTACCTCTTAAAACCTTTTTTTCACTTTAATAAGTAGCCTATGTACTTTCTTAAGCTCTACACTATCTCAGTACCAAATTTCATTTAAATCGGTTTAATAATTTTTACGTAAAAGCGAGACATACAGACTTTCGTATAATATTAGTAAGAACAAGCAATACTCTTGCTAAGTGAAAAGCTTATTACTAATGTGGTTGAAAATAATATATTAATTTCTGCATTTACAGACAATGGAAGGATGGATTGTTCGTGACCTTAAAATTATTGCTCGCTAACACTGCCCGCCACTTCCGCATTAAATACTGTCTTCTAGTTAGAATTTTAATTATATTGGACAATTATTTAATTTAAATTTATAAAACTCTAGCTGTCGTACGCAACTCAATATGCGGGGATTAAAAAAATAAGAAATCTATGGATTCTTCGAGATTTTGTTCCAATGTTGTAAAGATCCATTTAGCCGTTCTGGAGATATCTTCTAACAAACAACTAACATTCGCATTTATAATATTAGTAAGGATTGATTTGATAAAATTAGTTATTAATAAAGAAAAATATTAATTAATGACATTCTCTGTTTTCGTATTATTTATTAAACTAGCGGTTACCTGTGACTTCGTCAGCGTGGAATTAGAGAATATCCTACGCTTGTTCAAAATACCTAACCTCCATTAAGTCCCGTAAAAATATTTACACGCCTTAAAAACGCGGACTTGTGGACAAATGTCAAAATGTTAATTTTTTTTAAATAAAAGTAAGGCAAATAAATTATGTGTCATACAGACATTTCATTTTTTTCTATTTTATTAACAGATGACATAACATTAATCAATTTATTTACTTAATTATTTACAATTGAAATTATTAGACTTTCGTCACCTTGATGGTGTTGATAAATTATTTTAAATATTTAATAATTATTAAAATATGTCGACATAATAACAAATGGCAAAAGGTGATAGCATTGTTTGAAAAAATTAATAAAATAATTATAAACTCTTGTCCGTCAGATTGTAATCGAACAAACAATATAAATGGCATATATTCATTTGTCCAATTAAAATAATACTTTTTTGATTAATGGCGGCCATTACGAAACTACTTATTTTGTGAAAATTATGAGATAAAGAGAATCAATATTGTGAAATAAGAGTATGTACCTTATGTTATTTAGTTATGAAAGAAACAATGCTTCGTCATTTTGTTGTAATAATTGAATTATAGCGACTATCTCACTAATATTAGAAATGAGTAAAGTTTATCTGTAGAACGGCACAACGGATCCCGTAGAATGTCTAAACGAACACATTTGTAGGTTACTAGTTAAGTGTTCTTATTTCCGCGTATACGAAGTCGCGGGCGTTCGTTGGTGAAAAATAAAAATTATACAGTAAGTTTTGCTTAATATAAAAATAACGTGGTTAAGAAAAAAATGATGTTGTATATGCGATGCGACAAAATGGAATGCATTTTTACATTAATGTATTTATTATGATAAATTTAATTTATTACATAACTTAAAATTATCACGATAATATATTGATATTCGTAGCTACTAAAATAATTCATTAAGTAATATTTACAAGTTATTCAACAAAATTGAGTTTAAACAATTGATTGACTACTAAAATACGTAGTATCGTTAGATTTAGGAGTCTTCAATACTAATTTAGTGCGTATTAATGTTTTCAAATATCTTGGCGGCTCTTAACTTCGCAAAAGTCGTTCCGGAGAACACAATAAGTGTAGTAGGGTGTATCGGCTTGCGGGGGGGGGGAGGGGGGCACTGCGCAGCGCGCACATGACCTTCAGCCGTTAACATATTTGAAAAGAGTAACAGTAATGTTTAGATTTAACTAAAATTTATGTCCTCGGTTCACATGTGCGAAGCAAATCATTGAACTGACTCGTAGCTCAGTTCAATTTGTACCTGCATAGTTATATTTTACTGCTAGTCACTAGGCAGCTCGCGTCTTGTCGAATCACACATCGCGATGAGCTGTTTGCTGTCAAATTTTTGAACCGCAGCTCAACGGTTTAAGTTTGTGTGAGTTGAATTTTTGAACCGGTTCAGAGCTGATTTACACATGGTTAGTATTATTTTGACATTCCCACCGTTCAGTTCTTGGGTAAGCACTATAAAAAAATTCAAGTTCTCTTTTATTCTTGATAAAAAATCGTACATAAATGTTTTTTATAACTGACCTTTGAATCATCTTTAAATATTTAATTATAAAATTTAAAAAAGAACAATGGCTAATATGAAGAATATTATTGCTATAAACTGTCGACTTAATTTAAATATGGCTATATTTTTGTTACAGTTGATATGATTTTATTGAGTTAATATTTACTACCAACAATTTTCCTATCTATAAATCAACGTTTAAATAAACGCGTCATTTTTTTTAAGTTTTACAATATAACTAATATTTTTAAGAAACATAATAATTACTGGCTGTAAGACGCGTCTTTGCATGACATTAAAAAAAAAACCTTAATTGGTTATTGGAAAGATTTTGTGGACACGCAACTATGGTTTTACGCTGCAAATATTGCCATCTCTTTCATTCTCTTTAAAAATACAGAGACAGCATGTGTCAATACACTAGTACAGTCCAAATCTACTTAAAATGTTTCTTGTGACGTTTTCCACCGTGAGAAATAACTTATGCAAGAAGGATGAATGTATTTAATTTACAATCGCATTAAAAATGAACAATTTGAATCAATGTACAATCTAATTCAAAATATCTTGAGAAAATGTAGTCAGTGACGAATATTTCCTACACTTTTAAAATGCACTGATCTTTATAGATATACGCTGGATAAATTGTTGTTTGAAAATGTGACCTTTTACTACTTTCACTTTGATAATGCTATCATTTCGAGTGTCCGACACCGCTACTAACCTTTTCCGTCAGCGTTAAAATGGCGAAAATCAAATAGGCACAAATATCACGGCTTACAACCTGTCCAATATAGAGGTAAGTGCTGAAATATCCTAACGTTCACATAGGTTGCAATCTTGTTATAGATATGATATTAGATTTAAGAGGGGAAGCTTTATTTTCTGTATGTACAAGGAGAAATTTTACGAATGCAACAATTTCAAACACTAGATGTGTCGTAATGTCCGTCATAGTAGCGCCTGTAGTCGGGGGGTGAGGGCGCGGCGGGCGGCAGGCACGGCGGGTACACGCACCCCCCGTACAGCTGTGATAGCACGTCGTAGGGTGCAGCGGGGGGCGCGGGACGTGCCATGCTGAACAGCGCCTCCGGGTCACAAACGAACTTGTAGACGTATCGCTCTCCTATAAGGAATTATTTAGTTAATAACGGAATCTATGGATCATCACAATCATTGACCTCTATATATGGATAGGCTATAAACATTAGTATTTGGTGCCTATTCGATTTTCGCCATTTTGTCGCTGACGCTTGCGGTAGATGCTATTAGTAATATGAACAGGCGCGTTTATGTCTGAACGAAGTAAGTTGTCATTTCCAAATAACCTATCAATTCATGAGTAAAGTCTAATCTTCTTTTATATTCTTTTACGTTAGTTTCCATATTTTTTTACCACACATGGGAACTGATTTAATAAGAACGAGATATGTTTTGATACAAGAGTTGTAACAGTGTAAACGCAAAATAAGCTTTCAAACAAAAACAATTAATATGGCGAAGTACCAGGATAACATAAAAGTATAGTACTCACCGGCGACCTTCTGCATGATGCCTTTCTCATAGTAGTAGCGTAAAGAGCGAGAGAGCTTGTCATAGTTCATAGCAGGCCTGTTCTTCTGTGCGCCCCAGCGCCGCGCCACCTGACAGAGAAAGACAGATATATACGACATGTACGAGTTAAAAAGAGATAAATATATGATACTGACTTCCTCAGGTTCGTGCAATTTGAACTCAAGTCCTCGGCCTGTCCAGGCGACGCAGCGCGCGCCCTCGGCCAGCAGAGATACCAGGAATTGCCACAGTTGGAGCGCGCCGCGACGACCGCTGCCTGCAGTAAACAAAAGTTACCAAAAGTTACCAATATTAACAAAGAGTAGAGAAGAGTAGCAAATTAACAGCTGTTTTGTAGATTCTGATAACTTTTGACCAAAAAAATGTTTATATTTCAAGGTTTTATAAGTACAGTCAGGGAATCTGGCGGTGTTCCATCGGAAAGGCTATAGTCGTTTGAACGTTTTATACAGATTATGACGAAAAAATGTCTCCTTGTTGTCTGTTCTTTACGTAACAAATCGTGTTATATGTGCTTACCAGTGTGCGTGGTGGTGACGTGGTGTGGGGGTGAGGCGGCGTCAGCTCGAGTTGGACACAGAGAGCTGCTCACTGACAACACACACAATACTTACTTATAAATGTATATTTCATAGACAAATTGTGTATACACACACACACACAGACAGCTCGTGGAATATGCTCCGGTACATAGTAAATACTTGCCAAATAGCATATTGAAGATATGTTACATCTTACTAATATTATTCATTCACTCATCTACTCATTCATTATGCAATTTGACAGATATACAATGTGCCGGGACAAATTACAAACTAGCAAACACCAGAATTTGATGATATTTAAACAATTATCTTGTACGAATACAAAATCTTACCCATCTTGTCTCCCCAAGGTTGTTCCGAGCTGGATACGGTCTCCTCGCGCGGTTCCTCCTCCCCGCATTTGCCCAAAGAACTGCATCTAAATGTACAACATTTATTTATGTAAACAGTTGCACAATTTACACATAAACTTTAAAAATAGGTTATAAGAAATCACGAGAAGACGGCAACATTGCATTGTACCGTCTTGTCGTAATATGCATGACCACGAAGGGGGTTTTAGTGAATGAAAATCTCATATAATAATTTCCCCCAAAAGGTCGAGTACCTTTTGAAGGTTCCCTCCCTCCCCCAATATCAAAAAATGTAGCTATTAGACATATTTTATGTACCTGTGCAAATTATAATGTTCCCTGTAGTCAGGTCTGACTTCTTCACTGTCACTTTTGCAACTGCAACAGATAAAAGTACCTATACGGGATGTCATGTAACGCGTTTCTCTTTAAAAAGAGACCCTGATTTCAATAACCGTTTAATCAAAGTATGGTAAATTCCTTAAATATTGATAAAACATTGTCTCCCTAAACTCTGGACTGTAATTTTTCCGGTTTAGACTATTTGCTATTAATATCTTGCAGGGGTTTTCTAACATTTTTGCAACAGTTTAATCTCAAAATTAAACAAGATTCTGTATTTGTATTAGTGGCTAGAAGTTTAAATTAATGTTAACATATTATTTAATTTAAACTTTGTCATAATTTATGCAAATAAAACAAGAGCAATACATAAAAAGGTTATCAAGTAAGATTGTAGGTCTTTGTCCTTTTATATGTTTGTTGTCATCTTATTATCTGAGTATTCAGTATGTTTGTATGTTTGTCAAATCCATTGTGACCTGATGAACGATTGAAATAAGTGTCATTGGGGTTCAGTCACTCTTGTACTTACGGCAAATGCGTGTGCTGCTCGTAGTGTGTGTGTCGTGGGTAGAGGGGCGGTTGCGCGGGGGCGCAGGGGGGTGGGGCGTCGCGTCGCGCCCCCGACACAGAACTACCAGCACTGTCCCTGTGAAAGAAATAGTTAAAAGTATATTGCAGACAATATTGCCTATAATTTAACTTAAGGCGTTTAGTAACTGCGACACAAAGCCAAGCTCCTGACTTCCAGCTGATTTTGTGCTTTAGTTTCATTTCGATTATGTGGCACTGTTAGTGGTGGAAGGCTTTTTGTTAGAGAATTAGCTAGTTAGGCTCTTCTTCCACAAGGCAATGTAATCTTCGAAACCTGGCGATTTTTGCAATGCAATGTCATAGAGGTTCGTTAAGGCACGCATAGCCAACATTTTGGCTTCCCTCGTAAGAAAAGTCGCCGCGATTTTCAAAATGGTTGAGCAATATTAGTTTTTACGAATTACGTTTCCTTGTGTAAGAAGGGCCCTTGCCCTTGTCTACCTGTGTTGGTAGTGTATGCCCCAGGGCAGGGCGTAGGGCGGCTGCGCCATTGCGCCGCTCAGGACATCGCGAGGATACCGGCTGACACCATCTAGAACCAGAATGTCTTCAAGTCGCCACGAAGTTTGCACTGAAATAAAGTTTTAATGTAGCGTATGTCTTATTATTTAATTTGTATCTTCAAATCAAGTCTTACGATTGTTTCTCAGAGTTTATTGTAATTAAATACAGATTAATCATTACTTAAATATTATTTAACCTAGTTAAGAATTTTAACATGGTTAGGGCGTTTTTGTAGATTTTGAACTGAATTAACATAGAAATTTAACATTGTGAATAAATTACCAATAGTTTTAATAAAAATTTTATTGAATTTTCTTTATATTTCTACTTTTTTAATACAGAACGATTAACACGCACATTAAACATATTTAAAAAAAGCGCCATCTATTGGTGAAAACCATAAACTTAACTTTGACCGTTACTTTTTATTAAAATCAACACAAACTAAACTTTATTCTGTAAATTGTTATTTATCAAACTACATTAGTACAGATCACTTTTCTCCGAGTCGTTTTATAAAACTTCGTTGTCCGCAATCGAGTTACGCTTCCTTTCAATCCGCTAACCACATTCTCTGCTGATCCTGTTAGCGCGCGGCGTGATGGTTTCCTTTTTGTAGGCAGGAGATAATTTCCTGCGGTAATACTTCGAGTATTGCTCAGTTCAAAACACGATTTAGAAATAAATGTAAAAATATTATTGACATTTTTATATCTATTGAAAACATTGACATGCAATTCTTGAGGTTCTCTAGAAAATTCTTTTTATACAAATATAGTTAAATAAAAAGCGCCTTGCTGAATTTAATAACTAATAATGCGACACGAAAATTCAATATTAAATACTTAATTCTTTTATTTTGGCAATAAAATAAAAAAAAACGCTTTTTTAGAGCAACTTCAAAACAATTTTTAAATTCCAGAACCATGTACGTGAATAGATTCTGTAGTCAGTAGACTAAGCGGCATTACAAAAATCGATAACCTATAATTTTTCTTGCCAATAATTATTGACGTAAAGTTATCTCATGGTGTGGCCGCCCCCCGGCGCGACTCACGTCGGCCACCGCTGTGATAGTGATGAACCTCTCCCTTCCCATCCCTTCCCCTGTCATCGCCGTGCACCCCCGACGTATCGCAATATATCGATGTGTGTCATCACAAGCTTTATAACTTACTAGCTGTTGCCCGCGAGTTTGTCTATGCGCAATTAAAAAAAAACTAAATAAGTACTCTATGTTTTTTCCAAACTATGTTCTACATCTATGCCAAATTGCATCAAGATCCTTTGAGCCGTTCCGAAGATATCTTGTAACAAACGACCTTATCAATTTTCCCATTTATAGTATTAGTAAGCGTGTTAATTTACACATTCTTATAAGTATATTTTGTCAAAACATAACATTTTATAATTCAAAGAACTTGAAGATGTTTGGATTTCACTCGAGAACGTTGAAGACACGTCTTGTCGTAATATCCGGTTAGGAGAATGGGAGGGGATGCTGTGTGCGTGGGCTGGCAGAGGAGGAGAATTTGGTTACCAATCAATCAATACATGTGGTTACCGATCAAACTTCTTAAAAAAAGCAAAAATAATTTTAATTTCACTTTAGAAACTGTTGATAAATGGCTTAAAAAAATTGTCCGATTGTCATTTTTTTCATAAGTGGACATTTTTATCTTACTAATATTATAAATACGAATGTTTAGATGTATGTTTATTAGAAGGTACCTCCTGAACGTCTCCATGGATCTCAGTGAAAGGCGTAGATATAGAACATAGTCTGGAAGAACAAATAGTCTTCTTCTTAATTTAAAAATTATAAAGATTTTTATTGGAAGACACACAAATCGAACTATGGGGATGGACCGGAGTCTGTCCAAAGTGCCAGTACCAGCCCACATATTATATTCAAATTAACATTGTTGGCTCAGTGGTTAAATACATGCCTTTTAATCTACACGTATACAGGTTCAATCTTAGCCTTATATTGTGTATCGTATTTCAAAACATACTATGTGACTTTCTTACGATGTAAACATACAAAAGCATTGATTTATTATCAATGATATAACGATCATCACCCCACATAACACTAGTGTCGCACCCCGGGTGGCGCTGTGTCTACTGCACTGTGTACCCCACACAAGGCAGGACAATGTACTATTCATTAGCTAATTGCACGTAGACTTTAGGGTTGACACATTTTATTTGATACTTAAATCGGGTTTACAAAAGATAAATTTGATTATATGTTAAAAATTTATTCGTTGGTTTTAAACACAAAAATCTCTTTTCTCTCATTATCTTTGACATTATTAAAGTTATTTTAAACGGGGAATAGAGTCTCAAAAGTAATTTGTTCGAACTTAGTAACTTGGCATTTTTAATACTAATCGAATTTATTTAATTATTTTTAAATATTAAAAATAGCGCAAAGTGACATTTCCTAGATAAAATACTTTACTTTAGTAAAAATACTTGATAAAAATAATTTTATCGTAATTCTCTCTGTTCTTTAGCAACTTTATGTTTTTAAAAAAACAAAAAAATTTTACGATTCAACAAGAAAATTTTCAAAATCGGAGCACCAAGGGCGGAGTTACGCGGTAGCACACATAGAAAGACGAGATGATAACCTCCTTTTTGAAGTCGGCTAAAAAATAAAACTTAATAAGTAGTTTATGTGTTCTTCCCGACTATGTTCTACATCCATGACAAATCTCAACAAGATCCATGCAGCAGTACTGGAGATATCTCATAAAAACATACATTTATAATATTAGTATGATTATAACATTTTCTAATGATTGCTTTGTGCCAACCCTACATGTTAGAGGGCGTGAAGTTATATCAGAATAGTTGAGGAAGTGTCGATGTGTTCATCATTGTATTATTTGTTTTGTTATAAACTTACCCCCAATGACTCAATGGTTAGTAAGATATTAGGACATTTTGATACAGGTTCGACAGGAATTACTTTTTATACCAAGTTAAATAGATATTTTACTAATATTATAAATGCGAATGTTTAAATGGATGGATAACTGGATGGATGGTTCGATGATATCTCCGGAACGGCTCAACGGATTATGATGAAATTTGACTCACATGTAATACTTAGTCCGAAAGAACACATAGGCTACTTTTAACACGTTAACTGCCAGAATGATTTCTCGAAAAACGATTTTTTTTTAATTTTATCCAAAACCATTTGAATGGGGCCTTGCGGGTCACACTATAGACAACTATTCGATTAAAAGCCACAGCGAGGTGTTTAATGGAAGTATGGCCTGTCGGACTATATGTCCATGGCAGCTAACGTGTTAAGTTTTTTTTTAATTCTTCGCGGACGGATTCGCGGGCGACAGCTAGTTGATGTATAATTATACTCAGAATTTAGTTTAATCTTGTTTTGAACTGTCCACCCCTTTACAACACCGGCGTGATGTAACAACAAAACGGTTGTTAATGTACCAAGGTATCATGAATGTAGCTAATGCCCCAGTTAAATATTAACACTCCCAAAGGAGCGAGTGCTGCTCCCTGCGGACACAACTCAACAATATACAGTGAAACATGTTTTGTTTATTTATAAATAACTAGCTGTCGCCCGCGACTACGTCTGTGCGGTGTTGAAAAATTATAAATAGTAGCCTATGTGTTCTTCCCGATTATGTTCTACATAACATGTTTTGAAGACAAGCGTGAAATGGAAGCAATTTCCGAAATTTTCGTCTGATGAGTGTGCGTCCCGGAGGCCTAATTTAGTCCTCTTTCCCTTCCCACCCTTTTTCTTATAAGGAAAGGATAGAAAGTGGAAATGGACTTTTTGGATGAGAGGATGCATGGAAAGGGAAAACATTTACTTTCTGTGCATCCTTTCCTCCGTCGATTAAAGGTAGGCAACGCATATGCAATTGCGTATGTCTATGGGCAACGGTCACTTCGCTATTTAAGCGATTTCAGGTGATGATAAATTCCATAGAGATCTATGCAGCTGTTCTGGAGATACAGCGTAACAAACATACTAAACATTCGCATTTATAATATTAGTAAGATATTATAGTGAAATCATTTTTCAAATTGGTTCAATAGTTTTTAAGTTTGTTCTTAACAAACATATAAATGAGTTAAGTAAATATTGTCGATTAAAAAATTAACCCTAAGGGTGTATGTGTGGGGTTGCGGGATGGCGGGGTGCAGGGCGTTGCGCCGGAACCGGAAGCCCGGGGCTGTTGTCGCGCTGTCTGTTTATCGACTCGTCTTTTTTAATTTATAAAATTGATAGCTTTCATAAGTGAGTAAATCTTTGGCACACGACTATGTCTGTATTCAAATTATTTTGGATGAATTTAAACTTTTTATAACAATTTTCTTTCTTCGCTGTTTGCAGTAAAATTTGTAAAATAAACTTTCAAACAGATAGATTGTTCTTAAAGGTAAAACTTTGTGTCTAGTAGAACTTTTATATTGTTATAATATAACAGTATTTTTTATTTTTATGACACCTTTTGTTTGCACTGACGTAGATGAACAGTCATGGATAGATGAATGTTTGTTAAAAGGTATCTCCAGTAAGCTGCATGGATCTCACTGAAATTTGCCATTAATTTAGAGTATAGTCTGGGAGAACGCAAAGGCCACTAATATTAGTGTATTTTTAATTTCACGTGGACAGAGTCTCGGGTATTAGCTAGTAAACTTTAAAGTTATTTGTTTTTAAAGAAAAAATGCTTGGTTACTACAAAAAAAATATTTGTACGAATTTTCCTCATGACCAAAATTCAAATGGCGTTGAAATAAATAATTCAAAAGCTTGAAATCAATTGAGTGTATTATAGATGCAGGGATCATTTCAGTCACTTGTCACGCTGTGGGGGCACGGGGGGCACGGGGGGCACAAGGGGGCACGTGCCGTGCGGGGCCGGGGGGCACTGATTGAATGGAGGTTTTAATTTTTTACCGAAAGGTGTCGCATGAATAATACATTACACTAGTTGCATTTTATTCAGCTTTTTCTTTAAAGAAAGTTGATTTTTAATTAACAT